GTTCTACATTTTCAGAGGAGACTTTATTCTTGACAAATGTTGGATTCTGTTGACTATTTGATGAAACACCCCCTTGCAAAAATTATGTAAATGGATATTTTGAAATCTAAAATGAACTACTCAAATGTTAGCAAACTGCTCCAGGATGGGGCAGGAGCTTACCTCAGAATGAAATGCACATGAAAATGTTAACAAACATCTTAACTAGATGGGAGCATTTTTCAATCCAAGTTGCAAAAAAAAGATTTTATTTGTTTAACTGTTTCTGCTACTTCTGTTCCAGTTCTGAGGGCATTATGTGACACCCAATTACACCTGTGCTGGGGCTAATGGCTTCTGCTTGTGTTCTACTAAAGCAGCATTTCTCTTTAGGGAAACTGCAGTCCATGGGGTTCATTAAATGTTCACCCTGGAAAGTGTTAGAAAACAGTGTTTCAGGTGCCACTCAGCTTTCCCAGAACAGAGGAGTTGTAAAGCAGGGGATATTTGTAGAAGTCTGTGAACTGCTCTGGACCTTCAATTTTGGGGATGTTTTTTTTCTGTTCCTTTTGCAGGGGAGCAGAACTATAAACACAGAGTATTTATTCTGGTTTTCGTTTCGCAGCTGAAGAAACTGAGCTGCTGCTGCCAGCTCTGGGCACCACTCATAGGCAAGTAGTATATTTCTGGAAAGTTTGAGTAATCCTGAACTAAAGCAGCTCTTCCAGGCAGGCATCTTGTACTCCGGAAAGCATTGAAAAATGAAGGTCACCATATTCTGTCATTGTTTGTTCCAGTGGTTAAGCAGCTGTACTTTTACAAACACCACCTTGTTTTAAATTTGAATTTGTCTGACTTCTGTTGCCATCTACTGCTTTACGTTTTTCTCTGTTAGGGTGAAGTGCCCTTTGTTTCCTGTTTTCTCCCTGAGGAGGTTCTGATACACCGCACTAGATGTAAAAACTCCACTCTGTGCTGACTTTGTACGTAGGCCGTTGATGGGAGCCAGCCAGCAGAAGAGGCCAGGTTGCTCTGCCCTTGTCAGTGTTCACCCACAGGCTGCCAGACGCAGATCTTATCGGGAGCAGCTCGATACTTCACCTCCCGATGAATGATAACCTCTTCCCTACCAACTCCAACAAACAGAAATCAGCAGGGATTCCTTAGAGGGGATATTTTTATGATCTACTACTAAATCACTTCACTAGTTATAAGATATGTGTAAAGAACATTTTTAATAATACTGTTCAGATGGAAAGCACCATGATAAATGTGAAATATGCTAAAGCGAGATTAGGCCTTTTCTCATTCCAAGCAGAATGCTGATTAACCTATTCATTACCCTAAAGTGATGAAGTATAAATTATTTATGAGGAAAGGAAATTATTTTTCCTCATTTTGGGCTCCAGTCATTACAAATTTGGCTTTGCAGCCACAGCTGTTTCTTTTAGAAACTGAATAGCTGAGAAAAACCAGCCAAGCAGCCAAGTAGAACACAATTCTGATTTCAGTTGTAAATATTTAGAAATATAACCAACCAGCAGGTAAAAGCATTGGGTGTTCTTCATTGTTCTAGTGAAAACTCAGTCACATAGTAAGTTAGAGTCAAACTATTGAGGTACCACAATCACTAAAATTTAACATATTCCATTATGTGAAGGAAAAGATGAGGACATGGGCTAGCTAGTGCAGAGCTGTCACCCCAGACAACCCTCTGGAGGGAACGACTGAGAAGCAGCAATAATTTTTTAATAGCGCTGATGAATTTGTACAGACTTCAGACACAGTTGTTCTCGAAGTGATAAAGTTTTGTACTGAAACATTATGGCAATACACAGAATGAAGAAGATTGGGGAAAAAAGAATAAAAAAACCCCTCCACAACTGAAAAACCTGCAATGTCAAAATTATACGGTTCTATCTAAGATGTGAGTCTGACATCTCAGAGGAATTTCTTGGTGATGTTACTGGTTTGTAAGGTTTTTTTTTGACTGGACTGTGCCAATGTGGAGAACTATTCATAGGGAAATAATTGTAAAACAAGTGAGAATCTAACTGGTTTCTGTGCATTGTGTGCTTCAGACCCCTGAGGGCCTGACTAAGGGAGGAGGCTAAACTAACTTTTCTTTATCGGTCTTTCATTGACGACAGGACTACTCAATTCACTGTCACATAGAATTTGGATTAGTGCACATCCAGAGCTATACCAGTTTACTGTAGCTGTTATCTGACCCGTTATTTCAATGTCAATTTACAAACTCATTTTATCATTTACAGGCTTGTCTACAAAAAGACCAAGCTGAATTAGCTACTGGAGTGTATATATAGGACTGTATATGCCCACGGCATATTCACATCAACCCTGTATTGTCACTTCTTGGCTGTCTAGTTCTGGGTGCTGTCTGCCTTTGCAATGAACAGATTCATTTCATGACATTGAAAATGCTGAAATTTTAAATAAAAAAGTTATTGCATCTCTCCACACAGGCTATAGGTATGGAACCTTTAACAGCACAGAGCATCGTATGTTTCAGTGTGAAGAAAAAAAAAAAACCAAACAGCTCAGCAATAATATTCTGGGTGAGTCCTGAACTTTACTGATTGTTTCAGTACTCAACCAAATGAGTAGAAACAGATTGCAGAGAACAGTCTGCAAAGCAAAGCCACCCTGTGCATCTGAGAATAAAACCTGCAGTTAAAACAAAAATAGAAGGGCACTTCAGGGGACCTATTTATTCACAGAATCATAGAATCACAGAATGGTTTGGGTTGGAAGGGACCTTAAAGATCATCTAGTTCCAACCCCCCTGCCATGGGCAGGGACACCTTCCACTAGACCAGGTTGCTCAAAGCCTCGTCCAGCCTGGCCTTGGAGACAGCCAGGGATGGGGCATCCACCTCCCATTGCTGGTATCACCCGCAATCTAACTTCATTTTTAGAAAATCTATCAAGATACCACTGACCAGTCCACCACAGTGCAGTTTGGATCTGCCCTTGTTGTCAAACATGCTTTTTGCCTGTCTGCTGAACAGAGGTGGCACTAGTGTGATTAACAGAATGAAGTGCGGGAACACACGGCGTTGGGCTGTTTACATTAGCGAGTTGACTGCGTTACCCTGAGACGGGAGTCACTGCTGCACGCATGGAAGGCAGTCCTCCTCTCCTTTTCCCGCTGGGTGTCTGAGTTTTAAGCCAGTCTGGGTAGAACTTTACAACTTAGTTTTGGAAGCATGTGAAAGATCTATCTGTCAAGCCTTTAACTTCAGATTGTTCAGCACAACTTCCTCAACATTCAGCCTTTGTTCTGTGCCAAGCATAAGCTGCCCACAGAGAACTGCACTGCACGTACTGCAGCTGCGCTTCAACTGCCGTGTCCTAGATGGAAACTCAGATGCTGACTAACCGGACAACAAGCCTTCCACAGTGCTGTGTCTGACACCTTTAGTCTGGCACCCTCCCACCACAGTGCGGAAATCGAGTGGAAGCTCTGGAGCCAGTTATTTCATGCCCATGGCATGCTGCAGCCATTCATCAAGCAAAGACTTTTAAAGTCATGTGCAAAATATCAAAGAACATCAGCAAAGACCTCAAAGAACAAACGAGTAAGAATGCAGAAGATATTTTGCAGCCTTGCCATATATTAAACGCACACTCAAGTAGCGTTTATTCTGCTAGGTTGTGCGAACAAATATTCTGTGCTCCATCAGTTACAGGCACTGCATAAATCCAGTCTAGAATGAAGAGCTCAGAATGAATATACACATGTGCAATGCAAACAAAACGTACTCCTTGCAAATGGAGTTGCAATTGAACACTGAATTAACATAGTGCAAACAAGCTTTTTTAAAAACAAGATAGACTTTGTAGTGGAAGGTTTTTTCTTTCTCCTCCATTATTATTTAACAGTGTAGACAGTGATGTACAGCAAGGGTGCTCAGACTGGCATGAAGATGGATGTGTAACAGCACAGCACAGGCCCTCAGGGGGGTATCTGTACACCGTAGCAGATCCCTGATCCTAGCTTCTGCCAGTCTTCGCTGTAACTTGGTCTCATGTAGCCAGAAGGTGTTCGTGACCGGTTACATCCTGTCCTACTGAGTGCTGGCATTGCCCAGTTTACGCTGACCTTGTGTCTAATGCCAGGCTGCACCTTTGGCTGTTGCAAGGGCAGACAAGTTCATAAAACTCTCGCAGCCCGGCACCGATAGTCCTGCCGCCGCTGTGCATCCTGTCCCAGCCCTGTGCACGTGCCTGCCCTCCCCGTGCACATGAACTTCAGGTGTATCATCTTAAGAGGCAAACTATTATATCACACTTAAATTCCAAAAGGCCCTAAAGATCCACATAGTTAAAAATTACCAGTAATATGGGCAGAGCTAGAAAACAGTTGTTGTGGATCAGAATAGTGACTCTTCAACTAAATGTGAAGGGAGAATTATTGATGAAAGATACAACTGCCTTTTTTTGTTTGATGAATTCAACCTTTCAGTTACTGGGGGAATGTTTGCGATACAAGCCCGAGACTTCAAACCATTCACTAACAAAGAAGTACTGAGAGGAATGCCACCAACAGTGTTACATAGTCTTAACTTCTTCGCGCTGTCCAGCTAGTTACTCAGGGAAGATTAGAAAGGATATGCTCAGTAGCATGTCATAACCCATTTTCCACAGACTTTTTTCACCCTGTTCTGTGTTTCTAGTTAACATACTTGTTAATTTCACTTCTTTTTGAAAATCTGAGCAAGTTTGAATGACGGTATAAAATTATGGATTATTAAAAAACTGGAATAGGTGACATCGTATTACAGGGAACTGATAGAGAAGCCTCAGAACCACAAGTCCACAAAATTTTTTATTAAAATAACACCAAGTTTAAGAAATCAATACAGTGTGAAGAACCCTCAACTCATCATACAAAAAAAAAAAAAAAAATCCATCCTCAAGTATGAAAAGTGCATTCCAATCCTGACACGATGGACATAACAGAAACAGAATCACTGTATCCCAGATGAATGTCAGCATTAAAGACTGGCATGCTGGGCAAGGAAGGTTCTTATTCTTTGCAAGAGTTCCTTCTTTACACTGTCTGGTACCAAGGCTGAAACACAAATAAGAAAGCAAAAAGTGAAAACAACAAAAATGGAAAATATGCCAATATCAACCTTCTACAACAGCTACTTCTTCTCTGTTTGTTCTTGCATTTCTGTTAATACCTAAGTAACTGAAGCTACTTGATTTTTAAATAGCACATCTCTATTTTTCCAATTTAAAACAGGCTAAAATCGAAGCCTGTTGAGAACACTGCTGTTATTGGTAGGCTTTTGCCAAGCCATAGTCAAGAAAATTGGAAAGTTCAAGGGAAGTAATTATTCAACAGTAAACAGGATATAATCACCAGAAACTAGTTTGATTATCCTATTTTTTCTTCACAAATTTAAGACCGAAAAAAAATCTCAGCCATGACCTCAGAGTAAGGGTCTTCATCATATTATTTAGAAGGCCTATTTTTATTTAAGACTTAATGAAGTTTCTCTTACTAACACTAAAGCCTATTAGAGTCCAAGAAAAACTATATAAAGAAAACCTTAAGAGACTCCATTTTTCTGCATCTGTATGCTATGTCCTTTCCTTTTGCCACTTCCTATTACACTAGCACTGTTTGCTCAGATTTTTACATCTTAAAAAGAATCGGAATTTTAAAATCTCTGTCACATACCCCAAGTTTTCTTGGGATCATGAAGTCAGTCCGAAAGATGAGTACAGCCTGATGACTAAATAATGTAACCTGCAGAAGCAGTCTACATACACAGGTCATTACAGATTTTGAATGGCTGTTACACAGTACAAATTCACATGCTTTATTTGCAGTTCGTAACAAGCTATTAACATTTTTCCTTGAATCCAGGACGGGGAGATTCAAAGTATTAATTAAATACAGGTAGGCATGTTTACTGACCTACTACCACATCCACATTTGTGTTTCCTTACCTCTGCCTTTGGGAGTGATTTCTGCCACCAGATCATCAACAGTAACATGCTCTAATCCTTTTTCTTTAATGACATCTAGGGAAGACCAAGACACATATTTTACATCTTTCAATCCATTAATCAGAAGACAAAACCTGTGCCAATGACTAAGAGACAAAACCTGCATGCATAGGCTGGTCAACAGGGAAGATGAAGTAGCTTGTGACCCTAAGAAGTGTAGGTTATTAACTCATTACTTACGCTGTGTGATTAATACATACCAGTACTGAAACCAACTGTCATCTTATAGTGCACTACTGAAAAGTGCAGAAGTCAATGCTGAAAAGAAACTTAAATTCAGTAGCAAAAACCTAAAACATTTTGTTTAAACATGAATGTTTTGAACCATATATCAGTACATAGGATCCACTGTCCCCAGGACACTAACTATGTTTTCTGAACTGACATCACGTGAACTATTTGCAAATTGTTTTTCTTGGCTGAATTCCCTATGGAAATTAATCCTGGATTGCTCAATTATTGGCCCTGATCCACAAGGGCAGAAGACTCTAGAACAAGCTACCAAAAAAAACCAACCTTCCACACCCCAACAAAACAACAAAAACAGTAACAAAAGAACATCCTAACCCCCCCCCAAGTCCCTCTCTGTCCTTTCTTCTGGGGGTTATTAGGCCTTTAACAGGGACAACTGAACTTACATTTGCATTCTCAGCAGTTGCAGTTACAGTTCATAGTACTAATGTAAACCAAACAAATTTAAATAACTTTGCTATAGCAGATTATGAAGTGTATAGTTGAGAAGGCAGAAAACCATCCTTTCACTATCTGTACTACTGCAGTGTGTAATCTCTGGCAGTGGCATCAGCCAGACAACTGCAAGCATGAATCATTTCAGCCTTCCCTGCAAATCCACCTAGGAAAATAATTTAACATGCCCAGACCTACAAAGAGAAAACTTTGTAATGGAGTATTGAATTGCTGAGTACAATAGACCAAATCAGAATTACAGCAAAAGCTCAAGGGATTTCTTTTTTGCTTTAAGGAAATTTCATTGTGCAATAATATTCTGGGATGCTTAAATACTATTTATAAGCGTTTCATATAATTTACAAGTCAGTAAATTGTAATAATGCTGAGCACAGCTCAGAACTAAATGATGTAGGTATTTAGTGGTTCATCTCTTCTAAGATCTCATCTAAGTAGATGATCTTATTTTCAAGACTTGTATTCAGGAGTACAAATGCACTTCCTTCTCGCCTGTGTGCAGACAACAAAGATCTCAAGTTTTTAAGCTGCATACCACTGTATTTGCTCCATTTTCCTTTCTCTTGTTTTTTATTCTCCTGTGGTAAGGAAATCATCTCTCTCAAAACAAAAAGTTGTATCGTCATGAATATTTAGGGAACCAATTCCAACACTATTCTCAGAAGATTAGTAAGTTTCAGATCAGAGAAGTTTGGAGATTTTATTTTTTTGCCCAGGTGCTTCCTTGCATGCAAAACCAATTGCCAAGGATACTTTCCTCTTGCCCAAGTCTCATTTAAATTGACTATTATGCGGCTCCATCTGGGACTTTTATTTGTCCAGAACCTCAGTTGATTACAAAGGATATTAGTTATTTGACCACTGTTACCTTTGCAGTGTGCCTTCAACTGATCCTTCCAGCCACATTCAATTAATTTGGCTCTCAGCAACTCTTTAAGGCTGTTAAGACAATATACAGGCTTGTTAGGAACAGCAAACATTCCTGACTACAGCGTGAAAGTTAAGCTTAAAATTACTACTCTTAGCAGAACTCCCAGACCAGCAGCAGAAATGGCGGAACAGCATTTTACTCAGTGACTCGTGGCAGATGAACTGATGATAAAGAGCAAAGTAACAACACAGGTGAAATTCACTGCTTCTGGATATTAATTCCAGAAATCTGAGTGCTCCATCTCTCATCATAGTACAGCTCTGATAAAGATTGTTCATAATACAGCTTTTGACATCCAGTCAGAAGTCTTCTTAACGTAGAATAAAACAGGTCCCGATACCATTTCAAGAAATAGCTTGCTGTGGTGAAGCTCTGTGCAACCTCCAAGGGGGTGGTCACAAGCAGGACAGAAGTAAAGCACAGACACCGTGTCACTCTACAAAAGGTTACGCTGGGCACAGGGCTGTGCAGTGACATCCGAAGAAGACTCCTTCTCATACAGGCCTCGAAAGACGGAGGAAATAAGAGGTTTTGGTGCACGGTGTTACTAATATAGTGAAATGATAAGGAGAAGAATGTCATACACACGCTGGTGATACATAAATACAATACAAATAGAACCAGCTGAAGACACAACAAAAGGCCAAAAACCAGCTGCCACACCACCCTGCATGATTTACGGGTTTGCCTTCACTGGGATCTCTGCAGTGGCTTGCACAAGCGTGGTTT